CTGGGTAGTTGGACATCACAGTCACCAAAATCTCGTCGCGAAGCAGAGGATCAAGTTTGAGCTTCTTCTTCATAGCAAACTGCAATAGCGTCTGAGTGTGCTTAAGGGCCACCTCCGGAGAATGTGTCTTGCTTCCGAGCTTGATGATGATATTTCTTACCGGGTCCGCCATTGGAGAATTTGTGTGAGAGGAGAAGAACACAATACTGAGAGCAGGTATGCTGAGAGAGAAAGGGTTTGAGTGCTGAGATGCTTGAAAGCCTGTTCTCTTCTTGGCCCGATATCAAATAGACTAAAGGGTGAAGAACCCTAATCAATGCGGCTTGTCAAATATCATGCAGACGCGATTGATTGACACAACGGTACAACTTCTTTTTAGGAAGGAAACGGAATCCAAGGAAATTTGAATTTTGAAAGAAGATTAAAATCTTTTGAGATATCATTAAGGCAAAAAAAAATCCACTTAACAAAAATAGAGAGGAGTCTTTAAACATAGTCAAACCATAATACTGAGCCGTGTACACCACTCCTCTCTGACTGACCAACTGCTTTAATTAGTCAATTCTATAAATTCCCAGAGCAGACCTGAGAATTTCAAAACGATTAGCGTCCAGTGGCTTAGTCAGAATATCCGCCAGGTGTTTGTCAGTTTGAATGTATTCCAATTCAATTTCCTTGGATTCAACCAAGTCTATGATGTAATGATGCCTGATGTCAATATGCTTCGTTCTAGAATGTTGAATAGGATTCTTGGAAATATTAATAGCACTGACATTGTCACAATAGAGTGTCATTATCCCTTGAGAAAAAGCATAATCCAGAAACATCTGTTTCATCGAAACCAACTGAGTACAGCATCCTCCTGCAGCTATGTATTCTGCCTCTGCAGTGCTTAGTGAAATTGAATTCTGTTTCTTGCTTAGCCATGATACTAAGTTTTTACCAACAAAGAAACATCCCCCGGAAGTACTCTTTCGATCATCAATATTTCCTGCCCAATCAGCATCACAGTATGGAACCAGACTTAGTTCACTGTCCTTGGAGTACCAGAGACCATACTGCATCGTTCCTTTAAAATATTTCAGAATGCGTTTTGCAGCTATCAGGTGTGATTCCTTTGGGTCAGATTGATACCTTGCACAGATTCCAACACTGAACATTATGTCTGGTCGACTGGCTGTTAGATACAACAGACTGCCTATCAAGCTGCGATAAACTGTGTTATCCACTGATACACCAGTTTCATCTTTCGATACTTTTGTGGAGGTGGAGATTGGTGTCCTGGATGATTTACATGATTCCAGATCAAAATTTTTAACTAGATTCTTAGCATACTTCTCTTGTGAAATAAAGTATCCTTCAGGACTTTGCTTGACCTGTAGACCTATGAAGTATGTCAGTTGACCAACCATGGACATTTCAAACTCTTCCTTCATCACTTTTACTAACTCGTCAGTGTATTTCTGTAAGGTTGATCCAAACACAATGTCATCAACATAGATTTGGGAAATGGTTACATGACATCCAGTAGTTTTTACAAACCGGGTTTTGTCAACACTTCCTCGTTTATACCCATGCTGGAGCAGATACTGTGTCAGTCGTTCATACCATGCCCGTGGGGCTTGTTTGAGACCATAGAGAGCTTTTCGAAGCTTATAGACATATGAAGGATGATCTGGATCTTCGAAAACTTTAAGTTGAGCCACATAGATATCTTCGTGGAGATAGCCATTCAGGAATGCTGTTTTGACATCCATCTGAAACAATGTGAATCCCAAAATGCATGCGACAGCCAACAAAATCCTGATTGACTCGAGTCTAGCTACAGGAGCAAAAGTCTCATCATAGTCAATTCCTTCAATCTGAGTATACCCTTGAGCCACTAACCGAGCTTTGTTCCTTGCTATATTCCATGCTTCATCAGTTTTATTTTTATAGATCCACTTCGTTCCAATAAGATTAACCCCATCAGGTCTTGAAACTAGATCCCAGACATGATTTCTCTCAAACTGATGTAGCTCCTCCTGCATTGCCTTGATCCACAGATCATCCTGTAAGGCTTCTTTAACATTTCTGGGTTCTATCTTTGAGGTATAACAAGCAGACCCAGATACTTCTGTCAGATTATTTCTTATTCTGCTCCTGGTCTTCATTCCATTTGATGGATTTCCAATAATCTTATCTGATGGATGGTTTTTCTGAGTTCTGGTGGGTTTGTCTTTACCTGTATCATTTATGAGGTTTGTCTCCTGATCTGAACTTTCTTGATCTTCATCTGATGATTCTTGTGGTTTGGGCTGACTGTTGCTGTTAGTAGCGGTTGTATCACTGAGAGAAAGTTCTGTCACTGAATCTGTCACTGTTGAGTCTATTGATTCTTCTGGACTGTCATCGATAACCACATTTACTGAGTCCATCACAGATTGAGTCCTCTTGTTGTAGACTCTGTCGGCACGACTGTTTGGAGAGTATCCAAGGAAGATGCTCTCATCACTCTTTGGTTCGAACTTCCCTCTTTGTTCTCTATCAGCCAGCACATAACACTTTGTCCCAAACACATGAAAATACTTCAGATTTGGCTTCTTACCCTTCCAGATCTCATATGGTGTTTTGGTTGTTCCTGGTCTAAGATAGACCCTATTTATGGTATGACAGGCTGTGTGTATTGCTTCAGCCCAGAAGCGCTGCGACAGATGCGAGGCATGTAGGATAACTCTAGCCATTTCTTGTAAAGTTCGATTCTTTCTTTCCACTACTCCATTCTGTTGAGCAATTCTAGGGGCTGAGAACTCATGTGATATACCGTTCTCGGAGCAGAAATCTGAATATAGTGAGTTCTCAAATTCCTTTCCATGATCACTCCTCAATCTCTGAACTTTTATTATAGACTCATTTTTTTCCTTCTGAACTCTTATACACAGAGTTTTAAAGGCCTTGAAAGCTTCTGTCTTTTCTCTCAGAAAGTATACCCAGCTGTATCGAGAGAAATCATCTACACACACAAATATGTATTTCTTTCCCCCAATGCTTTCAGTCTATGTTGGCCCCATGAGGTCTATGTGGACAAGATCTAGGCACTTCTCAGTGGTGATGCCTCTTACTGCTTTGTGTGGAGTTCTGATTTGTTTCCCAATAGCACATGCACCACAGATTTTTTTCGGATCTATTCTGATCTTAGGTACACCTTTCATTGCTTCCAGTTTTATCGACTTTATCCATATCTCTGAAGTTTACGTGACCCAGTCGTCTATGCCAGAGTTTTGATTCATCATATTTGGATAGGTGACAAGTAGTTCCATTTGCCAAAACATAACAATTGTCTGAGGACCGAGTTCCTTCCATGACTAGTTGATTTGCTTTGTCACTAACTCTGTAGCAGTTACGATCGAAGCACACATTCCAATTTTGATCACAAAACTGACTGATGCTAATTAGATTCGTTTTCAACCCACTGACTAGCAGGACTTCTTCTAATTGAGGTAAACCTGGTACATTTAGGATACCTTTCCCAACTATTCTCCCTTTTTGTCCATCTCCATATGTTACAGCTCCACTGCTGGGTTGAACAGCCATTAGACACTTAACATTTCCTGTCATATGTCTGGAACACCCACTGTCAAAATACCATCGAGCGTCAGTTGTAGATGCAGTCAGAATAATGGTGGGGTAGCTGATAACTTCTGACTTCCTGACCCAAACCTGTCTAGTGAATGGTGTAATGGTCTTATTCTGATATTTTTCCTTCCTTTGATCTCTGTAGAAAAAATAACACTCAGGCCGAGTATGACCTTTTGTTTGACAGTAGTGACAAATAGGGGTGTAATATTTAACTTTAACAATCTTATTTTTAAACCTTGAATAATGAGATTGATGAGTTAATCTGGCCAGGCCAGTATCAGCAGTCTGGTCGTACCTCCTTCCCTTGTTCTGCGCTGACTGAGATGACTGTCCTTGTTCATAGTTGTGATCAGCTTTGGGCTTAGACATACCCTCTTTGATGAAATTAGGTGCGTTATTCGAAGATTCACCTCGTTCAAATCCCATACCCTTTTTATCATTAGGATTTCTACCAGAGTCTAGAATCTTATCTAGGGTAGACGTGGTGTCCATCATCTGGATATTTTTCTTCAGACTCTCCAATTCCTTGATCAGTTTTCCTTCTCTGGACCTTATCTGAGTGATGAGTTCTTCTTTTATAACTAGATCTGTATTCAGTTTCTTTAGAAGATCATCTCTTTGCTTCAGCTCTTCATTCAGATTCTTATTCACTTTCACAAGTTGTTCCCAGCTAGCAACAAGTTTTGCAAATTCTGTTTCAAGTTGAGTATGTCTCTCTTCAAAATCATCAGTTGATATGTACGATTCTTCATCTGATTGATCTCCGTCTGACTGAAGGTCTGTACCAGTAAAGAAGGCTACAAAGTTTCCCACATTATCATCTGACTGATCATTTGAAGTTTCCTCCTCATCATCGCTTAAAGTAACTACAGACATAGCCTTTTTCCTCTTGAGATACACTAGTACAAAATTGCAGATAGGCAACCATCGTAAAAGACAATAGGCAACCATTGTACAATGGTTGCCTATGAGAGGCTCACGTAAAGTCATGGACTTTACGCGACCATTTTGAAATGGTCGCGCATTGTTAGTAATACGCGACCGTTCTTGACAAAGAATGGTCGCGTATTGTATTTATTTATTATTACTATTTTTTTAATTCGAAGGTAAAACGCAACCATTTTGAAGCTAGAAATGGTGGTGTTTTCCTTTTTTATTATTTTAATAATTAGTCATCCGCGACCATTTTTGGCTAGGAATGGTCGCGGATGACTTTTTTTTTTTTTTAATATTTAATTTTTTTTTGAAAGGTTTAGTATTTAATTTATTTTAATTAAAAACTCTAATTTTTTTTTATAATTCCTGTACCTGTTACAGCTTAAAATCCATATCAACAGTACTCCACAATACAATTTATCTATCATCAAATTAAACACTAATACTTTTAACACAATGCAAATACTATCATCAAAACACAATAATATTTAAAATCCTCATACTTTAATACAATAATATCATCAAAACATATGAATTTTGTCTACAAGAGGTAAACCTGCCAAAAAATATATTTTCTTGAGCATTGGAAAAGAACTAATAGCAGAAACGAGCTCGCCTAAGGAAATGTTCAGTGCTCCTCATACATGTTCCAAAGGCTTTGCTGGTAGTCTGGTTCCTGGCAAGTAAGGAAATGTTCAGTGCTCCTCGATATATAGTTGTCCAATGGAACCAATATGTCTGCAAAATAAAATGAAGTGTTTAATACATGTTAAATGCATGCATGAGGTGAAGTCCTCTGGGACATATTAGTAAAGTTACCACAAACCATCAAATATAAAACAGGAGAAAAAATACAATTAATCAAAATAATAATTAGAGCAGAGCTCTTAACAAACTTACTTGGGAAATAATCAATAGTCCAGTCTGCAAGGGCCTCCATCATTAATGGCCAGAGACTCCACATGTTCATTGATATTTTTGGCGAGTAAAATGTCATATAAGAAACAATCTCCAGAACCTCTTCATAGACATCTACAGAAGTATAGATTGACTAAAATCAGGACTTTAATTCAAATCAAAGAGGGAGGAAATGCTCAAACATTTTGACAGAGAAAAAAGAGAGAGGAAATGCTCAAGGAAGCAAATTGTACCTTGTCCGTCAGACGTAAGCATCCTACGCATGATAAGGAAAAGTGTTGGCTCAATCTGTTCAAAAAGATGTGGAAGCCGACTCACTGACTCAATGATTGTGCTTATGGCACGCAAACAACCAACTGCAGCTAAGGCACCAGGGTCATCAGCTTCATCATAGCTTCCGCGATGTTTATACATTTCCAAAATGCAGCAGCCTATAACAGCAACTATATTAGGGTACAAATGGCAGATCTGAATTGCATAAAACTGCACTATGAATTATCTCTCACCTGATTCTGGCATAATCCAAGAGCATAAGGTAGAGCAAACAGTTGAAATGCTCTGCGCCGACCAACCCCATCTGCTATCCAACCACTAAATACGGAGCCAACAAATGCACCTGCTAAACATGTACTCACAACCAGACCTACAGTTGAAAACAACAGCTCCATAAAGTGACTAAATTGCAAAAGACTAAACAAGAAAAATTAAGGGGAACAGACTACAAAGGCAAATAAAGTGAAGGCATACCTCAGGGTTCAAATCATTGACCTTTTCAATATCATCCTGAACATTACCACATTATATTGCCCTTTTCACAGCCATCCAGTCAGTAATGGCTGCAAGTTTACCAAATGATCTATAATTGATGGATGAGCTAGCTAGCTAGCTTACTGCAGAATCGGGTAGAGGGTTCGGGCCCGTCATGGAGAGCGCAACACACAGCTGCCTTGTGATGTCCCTGGTATACTTTGATATCTTTGCCAGTAGACATGGACCATAATCTCGCTGTTGTGTCGGAAGAAGCTGCAAAATTTGAAGGTTGTGATTATTTTAGCGTGTACTAGAGATTGGGTTCGGCATTATAATGTTTGAAATCGGAAAGCTAGACATGTCAGCTAGTTACAGACTACAAAGCACACAATAAAAAGCATGCAAATATGGCGATAAGTCACCCCAAGATTTGACTAAGCATTCTCAAGATACAGACTAAAAATGCCTCCAAATAAGAAATATCACATTTGACTTTATGAAGAATCTTATGGGTAGTGAAATAAGAGAATGAAGACATTAGAGATTTAACATAAAAAAAATCGAAGAAAAAGAACCACATTAATTTGGTATGTACCTATGAGAGTTTTCTCCAAGGTAAATCCATCCACATTCCATATCTTGACAGTATGATCAGAAGATGCTGTGGCCAGATACCTGCAGATTACCATTTCAGGGTGGGAATAAATATTGAAAAACAAAACAAATAATTCCAACATCCTAATAGGCTAAAAGCATCCTTATTTGAGGATGGCAGTATAGTATTTACGTAAAATTTCAAAGAAATATAAGCAAAGCAAAGAGATAAAGCATGAAAGTCTAATCGGTGAGGCTCACTCAATTCTGGGGAAAGGAGACATTTGAGGATGTATCCATCATGTGCTTGTAATTTATGAAGGGGTTCAAAGTTGGTCATAGTTATAAAGATATCCCAAAATTATCTTAAGAAAAGGTTATGCTCTAGTTGATCATGATACAGTAGCAAGCATATAAAGAAAAATCACCTTGAGCCATTTTTCTTTCAAGCATTGACAGTTGACAAAGTATTTGTTTGTTGGACCCCTGAGCATGAAATTCATAAGATATCGATCAGCGTTAGGAAATAGTACTCAACTGCAGAATTATGTCACCCATACACCACTTCTGAACTAAACAAATCACAACACCAATAAAAAGACCTTGCTCAAACCAAGCATCTGCAAGAGACAGGTTCAACTTTACCTCGAAAACAAAGCATATACCCAACAAATAAAACAGAGTTAAAAAAAAATAAAAACACCAAATTTGAACCCAATACAGAAAATTAACCAGAAATCATTAGAGAAGAACTCGAGTTCTTGAACTTTAGCGAGCTTGTCTGACAACTTGACAGCTTAATTTTATAGTACTGCAAATACATTTGTAACTAAGTTACCTAGAGCTATGAATGTTTTAGCAAACTGCAGATAAAGATGGCAATCTAGTTAACATCTTATCATCTTGGGGCACAAATTAGCATAGAAGAAGATAATTATACTCATAAGTCATAAGGAGGGAAAAAAAAAACCCGCACTTTATCCTCCTCAATAAATGAATGAAACATAAACAAAGACAGAAAGACTTGTGTATACCATGTTATACCATGACAGGTTTATGTATGCCATGCGCTTATGGCAGTTCTCAAATAGCAAGCAGCAAGCTTATCTCCATACTGACAAGATAGTAAAACAATGCCCAATAAGGTCATAGAAGATACCTGAGGGACATAAGTATAATTCAATGAGACAAAATCTATAAGTATAATTCAATGAGGATTACCAAAAAGATGGCACTCATATTTTGGTTCTGCATCTTGCTGGTAGTGATCCCCATACCCCATTTTGCCCTGAGAAGATAAAATGACATAGAAGATGAACATTACTCTAATGAGCAGAAAATGCATGAATCCTCATCAAGAGCATAAAGCATAAAAGACAGCAAGTCCAGAGATATAAATGTGATATGTTTTTGTACATATACACAGACCCAGTGATAATTAATGAGCATTGAAACATTTCCAAGTATGGAGATAAGAAAAGGACTTTGGTCTAGCGTCAAAAATGAAATTTATCAAGTCTTACATTCAAGAGTCTTGGTTCCCACTTTCCTGGGAAAAAGTAAGCACATTAGCAGTAATAGTAAGCCCATGGCTAAGATTGGTCAAGGAATCCTGCCATGACAAATTTTATCAGGGATCAAAATGCATATATAATGTTGCTCGAGGAAATCCATATACAGAAAAGTATATTTTTTATTTAATGTGAGGAAAATATTAGAAAATGTTGAGATATGCATTTAAGTTTTTACCAGCCAATAATATCTCCTTCCAGACAATGCTTCTTAGCTCATTCTCGCTATTCCTGCTCCAAAAGATGTATATATATTACCAAATGAATAAAGATAAAGTTTCCAGAACATATGAAATATGTGTAAGCATTCAGAAATTGCTTACACCATTGACATTCTTTCCATACATCCATCACACAGTAAAGCATTTAAATTTAACATTAAACAAAAAGTTCCAACCATTTCCACTTGTGAACCTTGAGCTAAAAGATCTCCATTCACAGCCACACAAGAACATCCATTTGCAGAACAAAAAATAATCAACTAGGTCATTTACCTAAAAAAAAAAAAAAAAAAAAAAAAAAAAAGCTTAGAAAGGAGAAAGACGGTGGCCTGTGCAGTGGAGTTGCAGAGAAGGCAAAACAAAAATTTTTGGGGAAAAAATCCAAAAAAAAAAAAAAAAACCTAGTATGAACAAAATAAAAATAAAATAAAATAAAATAAAATAAAAACTTACATGCTCGCCGCCGTTGGCTTGAAGTCCTCGCCAACGGTGGGTGCGATTCCGGCGGAGAAGATATCTGAGATCTATTTTAAGGAAAAAGCAAAAGAAAAGAAAAAATATATCGTTACCTATGAGCCTTTGAGAGAGATCTGAAGGTGGAACGTCGTTGCCGTCATCCCCAGGCCGCAGCGGAGCTTTTGGAGAGCGTTTGAGCGGTTGACGACCTCCGTCGCGTCGGAGCGTTTGAGCGGAGCTCTCTCCATCTCCGTCGCGTCCCAGAAAGAAGGGAGGGATTTTGAGAGAGAGAGAGAGAGGGCTCAGAGAGAAGAGAGCGGTGGATCGAAGATAGATCTGAGACTCGATTTTGATCTAGTCTAGGGATAATATTAGGCAACCATTTTTATTAGAAATGATTGCCTATTATAAAACAATTTCCATTTGAAGCAACCATTTCTATTAGAAACGATTGTCTATTAAAAATTAATTTTTCTTTAAATATATAAAAAATACAATGGACAACCATTACAGTTATAATGGTGGCGGATTACTGATCACTTATTTACAAAATTACCACCGCGAATTTTTAGATTAAGATTAGGCAACCATTCTTTCAACAATGGTGGCCTATGGTCAATCTTCTATGTTCAATTTTGTACTAGTGATACGTTGCACATTCAGCCTGTATGTGTCCATATCCTTCACATTCCCTAGACTGCACTGACCGGTTGAGGGATTTAACTGTGTCTGTGGAACTGTTTTTGTTTTGTCTGGTTCGACCAGTCTGAGATTGATTGTTCTGTGAGAAGGGTGCTGTTTCAGCCTTTTGATATGAGGAGTTGTTGCCTTTGTATTGTGTCCTGGTAGACTGACCTTGACCTTTTTGTTGAAACCTTTTAAGATTTTCTTGAAATTCTTGGTTAGAAGAGCCAAGATTCTCGATCAGCCTCAGCCACAAAGGCCACTGACTTTCCTTTTCTGTTGCTTCCAAGATCATCATCAGCAAGAACTTCTAGTTCATATGTGTGTAAGCTTCCCATGAGTTCTCCGACAGTCTTCTTTTCCCAACCTGTGTGTTTCTGAATAGCAGTTACTTTCATTTGAAAGCGTTTAGGTAAAGATCGAAGGATCTTTTTGACCACTCTCTCATCAGTGAAAGGTTCTCCAAGAATTAAGGCTCGGTTCATAAGATTCTGAACCCTACTGTGGAAGGTCGAAATGGTTTCTTCTTCAGTCATTCTCAGTGCTTCGAATTCTGACAGAACCATTTGTAGCTTTGACTGTTTGACATCACTAGTTCCTTCAAATCTGGTTTCAAGAATTTCCCATACCTGTTTAGCCTCTTTTACTCTTGTGACAAGAGTAAAAACATATTCATGCAAAGATCCTACAATTGAATTTAATGCCTTGTTGTTTAGATCTGAGGCATTCATTTCATCGTCTGTCCAAGTCTCCATGGGCTTATCTTTAGTAACTCCTTGTGCATTCTGAGTAGTGGGACGACTCCACCCAGTTAGGACCGTACGATAAACCCTGGTACCTTGTGCTTGAAGATATATCTCCATGCGAGCCTTCCAGAAGGAGTAGTTATGACCATCTAGTTCTGGTGGTTTCATACTTGCATCCATCCTGAATACAAACAACCAGCCAACGAACACACAGAAAAACTTGCGAAAGACAGAGGGAATGCAAAACTAAAAACAACCCGTCAGATCAAGTCACTATGTAGACTTAAAAGCTCTGATACCACATGTAATTTTGCATTTTTCTTTTTTGATAAATTAACAGGATTAGTCAGCTGTCCGAGATTACTGATTAATTCAGTTACAAAGATAGTCAGTAATAATCAATCATGTAGAGGATGTAAGAGAAAGATAACAGCACAACTCAACGACACAGAATATTTACCCAGTTCGATACAGTGTGTATCTACGTCTGGGGGACGATCACATAGGCGTCCAATCCACTAAATAATAATCCGATGTACAAAGGTAGATATACAATAATCTTACCCAAGTGCCCCACACAAGGTACAAACCCAGTCTACACAGGTTTAGTGGATTGTTGAAGATGGAGAGCCATGCATACAGAAGTCCAATGAATTCCCTTCACTTGGAGAGCTCACTCTGATGCAGTCCACTTCAATGACGCTCTTTATTGTTGTTCCCACAACAAAGTGATCACAGTGTCCTTTCGTTTAAGCAGCAGTGATTCTTCTCAAGTTCATCATCTTAATCACCACGAACATATTGTATTGAGAAGATGCATGACAATCAAAGATCTAACCTCATATAGCAGATGGAGAGTGTTTCTTCATACTTTCAGCGTAACCCTAATTCTCTTCGAATAAGGGTACTTATAGATTCTTCAATAACCTCTCTCCATAAAAGACTTTGATTGTAGAAGGTAGGACTATAAAAGGGGAATGTAATCTCAGAAGATTAGGTCCATACCTTTCTTGAAAATATACGCTGATCTTCTTTCCAAACTTGTCTGATATATAATACCGCGTAAGACTTTTAGAAATCAGCTTCCTAAATCAGATCTTCAGTGTTAGTCCTTCTGTTGTTGCTTCTGATTGATCAGTCGACTGTAGAGCTGGACGGACAAACTCTAAACCTATCTTAGTTATGCCATAATAATATCGCCAATTATAATATGGGGTTCTTGAACATTAAAAACACTAACAATATCAATATAAATGTTTGGTTAATTAGCTTTTTGCAACTCCAAAAGGCTAACATTCAAAAAGCTACTCCAAGCAACTTTTTCAATTAGTTTTTTGAGAAAAGAAATTATATCAAACAGCTATCAGCAAACAGCTAATTTACCAAACACTTTTCTACAATCAGCTAATGTAATCAACTATTTATACTCTCTAATTAACACAATCAACTAACAGTTAACAGCTATCAGCTATCAGCTAACAACCATTTTACCAAACAGGGCGAAGGTTTAATTATATTCGTTGATTGAGTCCTGATCAAGGGTCCAAATTGAAGATATTTTTTTAAAAAAAAAAATGCAGGCGCATTATGGTAATTTTGTTTATATAAGTTTTTTTTTTTTTTTTTTGGTCTTCTGGTGCATGTTTTCCCTTATTGCAGAGCACATTGTTATGCCTTCCAAAGTAGAATGTTGTCCCTTCGAAGTGAATATTATTTTTCGTTAGAGTGCATATTGTTGGGCCTTCATGAGCATATTGTTTAACCTTTCAGAGCACATTGTTGTGCCTTAAAGCTTTAATATCGTAGGTGTTATATATATATATATATATATATATATATATATATATATATATATATATATATATATATATATATATATATATATATATTTAAAGAACATTTGATCTTGAATGAATCATAATTACTAATTTTAGTTGAATATTGTGATGGTTTATGATTTGTGTTGAAGATCATGCATTAAATTTAGTCTTTTCAATAATTATTTCATATTTTCTACCTTACCATGCACATTTTTGCCTTTCCAGAGTTCTAGTGTACATTGTCCATTCTTTCAGAGCACATTGTTGAGCCTTCAAGCTTTATGATCGTAGGTGTACATTGATGTGCCTTCCATCTAGGAACCGCCGTATACACATGTATTTTTATTTTTTAAAAAGAATACTTTATACTGCGATTTCACATGGAACCGCCGTATAAAGTACACTTTAATTTAGACGGCGGTTACTATTTGAAATCTCCTTATAAAGTATGTATTCTTTTTATAATCATTTATATGGCATGTATATTTAGATTATACAGTGGTTTTTTAACTGGCGTATATAGGTAAGTACATGGCGGTTCTAAAAATCACTATAGAAAGTATTTATTTACAACCTCAGTCACTTACACGGCACTTCAAAAACCGTCATGTATGTGTAAAAAAAAAAAAAAAATCGCCGTAGTAGCTATGTTCTGTAGTAGTGAATTGTAAATGATAAAACCTAAGTAATAAAAAGTGAATCTCTTTGTTAAAAAAAAAAAAAAAGTGAACCTCTAAACCAAATAAAACTAAATACTCACTCATAAATTCTAAAATCTAATTAACCTAAGTGTAATACACTTTTATATTTTTGTAAGAGCAATTTTTTAATACTAAACGTGCACTTTGTTAATAATAAATGTGTATTTTTGGAACAACAAAATGTGAAAGGATAAGTACGATGCATCAATCTCCATCATTCCTTTATACATGGGATTTTGATTGCATATATACATTGATTTAGAAGCTAGGAAACTCTTTCATTTCCCACCGAAATAAACCTAAAAATGACAAGCATCAGATAGATTAGTTCAACTAATGTATATGCGAAAGGTGGCAAATCATAGTGTTCTATCATTTTGTTTTAAGACCATGCTTCGGATCTTCGTTGGTTAATACTTAATAAAGCATATATATTCCAAGCTAGAGGTAGCTAGCTACTAATAGTCATGTGTTTACTTTAGGTCTCTTTTAGTCTATTGTATTTGTAATAGGATACTCACTCCTTGTACATATTATTATAATCTCTCCTTTGTACTCAGTAGATTAACACATCATTGAATATACACAGATTCTATTTCTAAAGCTCTCATCGCTACTATATATGGAGAATGTCATTACATGTATTACTATATATAGGATATGTAGCATGGTAGGGATAATCATACTTTGGTTAATACTCAAAGTTTAAGCAAAGTGTAAAACCCATGTTTTTTTTTATTGTTTTTATTTTTTTTTATAAATTCATAGTTTTATTTTCATTAAGAATCAACTTTCAGAGTTCCATTTAATTGCGGAGGAGGTGTGTGTATGTGATCAAATGTGGAGGACGTGTCTATGTAAAACATGCAGTGAGATGATATCTATTGATCTTGTCAAAATCAACGTGCAGGATGAAGACAGATTAAAAAAATATAAAGGCAGTGGCAATTTGGTCATTTTTCGTATTGTTGAAACTTAAGTTGCGTATTTTCTGTGCTTAAGGTACGTTGTTGATACTTAAAGGTGCGCCATTTTAACACTTATGGTGCGTCAGTTCTACATTTGAGAAGTAAATGCGCGTCAATTGTTGAAATTTAAGGTGCATCATTCTAAAGCTTAAGGTGCCTTCGTTTAATACTTAAGGTGTGCCATTTAAAAATTAAAAGTGCGTCTGTTGTACACTTAAGGTGCATATGTTCTTCACTTAAGGTGTGTCATTCTAACACTAAAGGTGAGCCATTTTAACATTTATGGTGTGTCATTCTAACACTTAAGGTGCTCCATTTTTACACTTCGCTTCGGAATTCCAGGACGCGTTTTTTTTTTTTTTTTTCATTGATTTAGATTTGATAAACGACTCAGATCTCACCGCATGTTTCACCTAAGTTTCGGGAACGAAACTT